GACTGGTTTCTAGACTTTGTTTTCAACTTTCTAGTAATCTATTTATATAGGACTCAAGCTGTGTAAATGGGCATATGCATTCTTCTTGATAATCTGTCTCTATTCTATATTTCATATCAATTATTAAGTAGGTGGAAAGCATGAATCATGGCTCATCGGTAGTCTTTCTCTATTACTATGTCCGTCCCACTACTTTTGGGACATGGGGGATGACATGAAAGTTAAGAAAAGTAAGATTATGTGGCCGATATTGATATTAGAAACTAAGATAGAGTAAGAATAAATGTGAATCACACAAATATGACTAAATATGGTATGAGACAAAAATAGTGGGACAAACAGAAAATGTAAAAAAGCACAAAACTAGTGGGATGGATGGAGTTTGATTTAATGAGTTGACTAATTTCTCCCCATTACAAAGTTTAACCAATGACCTTTAGTCTTTCTTATACAATAATGTTAACAACATTTCACATACATTCTCTGCTCTTGCCCATGTTAGCTTAGACTACTTTTGTCTAGTGGATTTGTCTAGTTTGGCTTTTTGATGTCAAACTTGACAAATTTTTATAATCAATCAAATAAAAGTTACATTATTTACTAATACAATAATGATTTCATTAAATATCTTGCGAAATATTTTTCAAAAAGTTATTTCGTTGTACCAACATGCAATGTAAATTTTATTTAATTGATTGTCAGAGTTCGTCTAGCTTGACCAAAAGAAGTCAAATTGGACAAATACACTAGGACAGAGGAATGAGTTTTATTTTTAGTGTTGGAAAAAAATTAGTCTTCCAAACATTGAAGGGTTGTGAAACACAAGGATTGGAAAGTATGAATTCTAACACTTGCTTACCAATGTGAAGCAAAGGAGCTATTATGAATGGACATGTTGAGCCATGGCATATGGATACACGTGATAAGTACTCCCTCTGTCCCACAAATAAATTGAAATTTATTATAATTTCAATTTATATGAAATTTACAGTAAATTAAAAAATAATATATACACACATACACACACACACACACACATATAGGTATAAAAGAACTACATCTAAGGTTCTACAAAACAAGAGGCGAGAATACTATCATATTTTATCAAATGTGTAATGAAAATAAGCAAAGGAAGTGATTAAAGTTTGACCCTGGAATAGTGAATGGGAAAAGCTTGTGGGACAGAGGGATTATTTATTTTCATTAAAAAATTTGTGTGTCATAAATCGCACTACTTGATAGTTTTCTGTTTTCTGAATATATTTTCCCATGCAGATTACATGATGATAAAGGGCGGAATTGGAATTTTACAGACTTCAATAAACAAAGACTTGTAATCCATTCCATTGATGCATTTCTTGATAATTTATCCTTGGAGGCTCTAAAGCACCCCCTTGTAAAGGTATTTTTTCATCCAAAGTTTTCCCATTAAATTAAGAATGCTTTTATATTTCTTTTCATCTCATTCTTGGCAGTTTGTCTAGTTGGTTATATATATATGTGTGTGTGTGTGTGTGTCTATATATATATATATATATATATATATATATATATATATATATATATATATATATATATATATATATATATATATATAACAAGGGACTATATTAAAAGAGAGAGGAGTCAGGCGGTTACAAACATGATGGTAAAAAAAGAGAGAAAAAGACAAGCACCAAAATAAAAAATGAAGAACCAAACGCTTTCCATTCTCCAGAAGTCCTTGATCCCCCACGTTGTGAAGTCTTCATCCTTAATGAGCCATTTCTTGTTCCTGTTTGCCCAACACCAGCCTTGAATTTGTTTGAAGCAAAGCTGGAGAATGTTGTCTTTGGTTGGAGCTTTCTCTTCATAAATGAATGCATTTCTTGCTTTCCAAATATTCCAAGCGATAACTCCTGGCAGAATTAGTCGCAGACAACCTTTGAAGTTCTTCTCATTTCCAGTAACCCACCAAGCTATCATATGCCGGCGAAGAGTAAGACCCTGCCGTACAGAGGGGCCCATAACAGAGGAGCTAAAGTAGTGCCAAACTTGTTGTACTAAGGGAGCAATGAAGTAGGGAGTGGTCCAATGTGTCTTCATCTCTTCTGCAGAGAGTGCAGCAACTAGGGAGGGAGTACCCAAATCTTCGCAAGTTGTGAGGGAAGGGTTAGGCTTCGTTTAGAACCCTCCATTGAAACATCTTAAGCTTGGGGATTTGAGTCTTTTGCCAAATGTACTTGCTGGAAGTTAAATTTGGGTAGCCCATTTCCCCCACTATGAAAGCTCTCTTGAGGGTGAATGAACCAGCATCCCATGACATTCCCATCTCATCTCTGGATCTGTAGGTCTCTCCAATGTCATTGATTCTGCTGATTCTCTTCCAAACATGGGAGTCTGTTATCCTTTCCTTGATAGTGCCTGACTTCAAGTATTTACCTCTCATGAGAGAAGCCCAAATACCTTGATCATTATGGATCTTCCACCATAGCTTTAAGGAGTAAGCTTCTTGAAGTCTTTCAATGTTTTTGAGGCCCAAACCCCCTACCTCAGTAGGTTGGCAGATTGAGCTCCAGCTTTTCCAGTGATATTTAGGTTTACCTTGCTTCTGCCCCCAAAAGAAGTTGGCCATGGAGGAGTTTAGGGCATTGATGATGGATTTAGGGATTGTGTGGACAACCATAATATGTAATGGGATAGAGGAGAGGACATGTTTGATAAGGATCAACCTCCCCATTTGGTTAATGGTCTTGCTATACCAGGAATTGATGTGCTTGAAGAAATGATCCATCAACCTTGTACAGTGTTCCTTCTTGAGTTTCCCTTTACAGATATTAGCCCCCAGGTAGGTAAAAGGGAGCTTTCCACACTTCATGCCTAGAGCTTTTTCCATGTTATGAATAATGCTTGGAGGTGTCTTACTGCTGGTGTAGAATCTGCTTTTTGGGCAATTTATTTCCTGTCCAGAGGCAAGGAGATATTCTGAAAGGGCCTTCCTTAGTTTGAGCAGATTCCTGGTTTCTCCCTTGGTAAAAATAATGCGGTCATCTGCATAAACCAGGTGACTAGCAAATTTCACACTCCCAGCAGTTGTCCATGTAGTGGTTAAGTAGCCTGCTGAGACCTTCCGCTCCTAAGATGAAAAGGAGAGGGGAAAGGGGGTCCCCTTGCTTGACACCCCTTGTCATTTGGAAGAAGCCAGTTGGCTCCCCAATGATGATGATGCTGAAATGAGTACCTTTGAGGTTGGCCATAAGGATGGATATTGATTTGTTGGAGAAGCCAAAGGCAGTAAGCAGTGCTTCTAGATATTTCCAGTCCATTCTGTCAAAAGCTTTTGCCATATCTATCTTAATAAGCAGGTTCCCACCAAATACCTTCTTATCAAGTAGGTGGAAAGCTTCTTCAGCCATAAGAATGTTTTCATCAATGGATTTGCCTTGTTGGAAAGTAGCTTGCTCAGGGGAGATGAGTTTGGGCAGAAGCAATTTCAGCCTATTGGCCAATATCTTTGTGTTAATCTTACTCATGAAAGTTGACAGAGATATTGGCCTGAAATCATCAAATTTCTTGGGATTATCTATCTTGGGGATAACGGATAGCAAGGTGCTGCCGTAGGCCTTAGGGACAGGCACGCCAAGGAAGAATTCCTGCAAGGCTAGAAGGACATCCCTCTTGATAATCTCCCAGCAATGTTTGAAGAAGTTTCTATTAAATCCATCAGGACCACTTGCACTGTTACCATCAAGCTCCCACACTGATCTTTTGACTTCCTCCAAAGTTGGTAAAGCAGTAAGGAGGGAGTTGTCTTCCAGGGTTATAACCTTTGGGATGAGAGGAATAATTGGCTCAAGAATAGGATTATGATCAGCCTTGTAGAGTTTTTGGAAATGGCTTAGAGCAGCTTCTTTTATCTCCCCTGGGGATATATATATATATATATATATATATATATATATATATATAGACACACACACATACATATACACACACACACACACACTCCCTCTGTTCAACAATAATGTTCCCGTTGCGCATTACAATGTTTGACTGAAGTTTTTTTCAAATCATTTTATATGAAAAACCGTATGGAATAAAAAAATAACAATCACTTATTTAAAAACTACATGAAAAGATCTACAAAACTAGAGGTGACATTACTATATTATTTTATCAAATGGGCAACAAAAAATAGCCAACAAAGTGAATAAAGTTTGACCCTGTGAGTGTGTGTGTGTGTGTATTAGGTCAGAAATTATATATTTATATATTTTCTTGTCTTAAACTGTTGGAACTATGTTGCAGGATTCAGTTCCAAATATGGTTGGAGCATTGGGAAGTATTCTTGAGTCAGAAAGTGAAGTTATTTTGATTTCGGCCACAAAAGTTGCTATAAAGATTGCCAGTAGTTTACCATGTTCGGTGCTGAGATCTCACTCATCCAGTCTTGTTATTCCCTTATCATCCTTGTTATCTTCCCACCAGTCACAGGTTTCTGTATCATCTGCCACTGCCTTAAAATCCATTCTATCAAATCTGAGTACCAAAAGAGAGAATGAAGTTTGGGAGATTCTGAAACAAAAAAATGTGGTTGCTGAGATTCTTCAAAATCTAAATGAATTTTCATCAGGCAACAAGTCAAATGAGTTCTTTCAAGAGATGGCTTCTCTTTTGAGTAAAATACTCCAGATGTGGCCACCTTCTAGGCTCTGTGTTTATACTGATACCAAGCTGCTGAATTATCTGGATACTCTTACACTCAGTCCCATGTTCTCCATACAATCTTCTCTACTACATATCTATTCTGCTATAGGTATCAATACGTCCTATCATAATAAATTTTTCAGCCCTATGTTCTGCATGTCATTTTCATACCTTGCAAATTTTCATAACCAATGGCAGCTTTATGCCGCAATGGAGCTAAGACAATCTTAGACAATGGGGACAATCTTCTTAAAATGATGGTGGATAGCATGGACATTTCGAAACCCTATTCAGTTCAAATGGGAGCATTAAATCTGGCTCAGTGTCTGATGGTGACAATTCTTTTTCACTCTTATAGTCTTGCTACTATTGTCCTTTATCCTGTTCTGAAGAAGCTTACCCTTGTAATTAATTGATTTATCATTCCTTAGATGTGTGAAGAAGAATGCTCAACAATTATTAAAATATGTGGTGAGTCGATTGTGAAAGCCATAATGACTGGAATGGGCTATTTGAGTAGAGGTAAAAACTTTTATACAGAGCACATGCCAAGACTAGTGGAGTCTTGCAGTTTAGCTCTGATTACACGTTGGGCTGGGGAACATCATCATTACTTTTGTAAAGCAGGAATTGGTGGAGTCCTCCTAAATCTTTTCATGGGCAATTTTCCCGAAGACAACAATTGTTTACATTCCTTGCCTCTACAAGAAAAAATTGTCATAATACAATCACACGAGGGTCTCCAAACAAATTTTTGTCTACCTTTAAGACCATATATTTGGGATATTCTTGGACATCTTGCAACACATTCCACCAATGATTGCAATCCAATGATGCATGGGCATGAGGCATGCTTGAATACACTCGTAGTGTGTGCATGGTAATTTATACATTAGCCATTCTTTCATAGTTTAGATAGAAGACTACATGGCTTTCCCTTCCCTATTAAATGCAAGTACTTTAAAATTTTATTTTGATAACTGTACAGTGTTTTAATTTTTTCATTATGTTTATGACAGCTTAGGCTTTGTGGACTCAATGAGTGTCACACATCAGACTGGTGAAGATAATAATGCACATGAATCAGTGTCTAGAGCAGTTCTTAAGATGATTTATTCTCCCTGGAAGCATCTTGCATTCCAAACAAGACACATACTCTCTGAAGTTCTGAAATCCAATGGAAAGAATTATGTCAGGCGTCTCTTGAGTACTTTAAGAATCACATCTTCTGGCACCAAGATTGGAATGCCTTCAAATCTTCAAATTCTGATAAGCTTGATGGGTTTGACATGTTATTCAGCTCTGCCAAACTATAAGAACAATGTTATTGATAATCAAGGAGTAACAGATTTGTTGGCTTTCATAAGATGGTGGCTAGTCAATCCTCTACCCGTGAAAAGGATGCATCTAGCTCCACATACACAGAATATATTTTGTGTGAGAGCCTGTTGCTGGGGACATTTGGCTGAATGGGAAGGAGAAGACATGCTCTTACTTTTGGGTCTTTGGTGTCTTGCCGAGTTAGTAGTGCACTCTGGTTCACACGATGATGATCATGCTGTTATGTCCAAACATCTGGAGGGTGGCAATGATGCACTGTTCATAGAGGAACTTCAACAGATATGTTACCAAAATTTGTATCCTGGACCAAGATGGTATGCTTCATACATTCTTTGGCATCTTGGATTGTATGGATTCGCTAATAGGTTTGGACAAAGGATCTGTAAAGCACTTAATGAGGATATAATGCCTGATTTAGAACTTATCCATGGGAATCAGGGATCCTTTTTTGTTCATAGTGTTATTCTTTCAGTTAGATGCCCGTCATTGTTGCCATCCAAAGAAGCCCTTAAAGAGAAGCCACAGTTTGGCTCTCTTTCGAAGTGTGATGTGGAGACACATAAGAGGTCAATGAGCAAAGTTCAGCTCTCCCCTCATGCTGATCATCAGATATTAGCAAAGTTGTTAGAGTACGTGTACTCTGGATACTTTCAAGCTGGTGAAGACCTGATAAAGAAGTTGAGAGTGTATGCCAAACGTTGCAATCTTCATTCTCTTCTGCATATGCTTTATAGGAGGCGACCAAAATGGGGCGAACCTTTTCCAACGTTTGATCTTACTTGTGCTCTTGGGTCAACCGGATATCATTTCTCGTACGGTTTTATCTTTTTTATGCAATTATTATTTGCTCTTAGTCTGAGAAGTTAAATCCATCTTCTCTTTAGTTGCAGCTATATAGTTGCATTTTCTTGCTCAGTGTTTGCAAGCTCACAAAAACTAGATTACCAGAAAAAACACAACACATTTTACAAAATGTGACATTTTTCCTAAGCTTTTTTCTCGCAAGAAAATTCTGGGAAGGGGCTAGTGCAATGGATATCAAGATCGAAAGGGACTGTGCTTGTGATACTCACAAGATCGAAAGGGACTGTGCTTGCGATGAGAGTGGAAACCAAGACCATAATCTTGTTAATGATGGTCTTTACTACTGGACAACTCCATACTCTTGTCCACATTACAAGGCATTATTAGTGCGAGAAAGCTGATAATAGAATTAGTGTGCCAAATGATACTTTCTGCAGCCAGATAAAATTCATGACGTTAAAGGACTTGATTACTTATCTGGGTGGTCCTTCAGGCTGTCTAAATGAGGCTTTTAATTTCTGATACTACAACAACCCAGCATAATCCCAACTCTGTCGGGGTTTGACAGAGGTCAAGATGTATGCAGAGAGCTTGTATCTGTTAGACCCTTGATGCATAGTGCATTGCTGCATATACTTCCAAAGACTTCATAGAAAGTATGAAGCAAGGGAAGTTTAATGTGCTATTTTAATTTAGTCTCTTATTTGCTCGAAGCTAAAGCTTTATCAATAGAGGCTATTTTAGCTCCATTGGCACTGAGCATGCATCAAATGTCTGATACGAAGGAAATTTGAGGAAATTGTAGAAAATTTTGTTTTATTTTATTTTTTTTAAAATATTTTCCATCATCTCCAATGAAGTCAAAGATTCACTATCTTTTGGCTTTGGGGTATGATGAAATGAAGTAAAATGGCCAATGCAACTTCCGATGTTCATCATGGGTCATCTGGAAATAGCCAGCCTCTCCATGTTTTAAACATAGGGGTCAGGCTGCGCGCATCCAACCCCTCTTACCCCGCAATGCACTGGAGCCTTTGGGGCTTTGGGGTAATGTTGTTCTTGTTTTTTTAATATTTTAATTTTATTCTCTTCTTAGATCACTTAAAGCATGAGTTAACAATAATTTATTTCATTGCTTTTCTTATTCAGAGATATCATTTTAGAAGCTAAAGCAGCCAACTTTGCCGGATGGAGATGCAGTTTTTGTTGCTCATTAGTTCCACACTATCATCTTCACAAAGTTATACTGTGTTCAAGCTCTGATTACCTACAAGCACTATTCAGTTCAGGAATGCAAGAAAGGTACATGCTCCACAAGGTGGTGTGCATGACTAATACAATAAATACATAGTGTGAGTGCCCTGATAGAACAACAAAGTTCTCGATAGTCAACCTAATTATCTTGCATAACCCAAATCATGAATATTGTTCTTCATTTTCCTCAACTGCAAAAGAATATGAAATTCCAATTTCACCCTTATTTAGTGTACGCCTCGTAAATGAGCACTTAAAAAAAGATAAGCATGGCACAATAACCATTAGAGGCAAAGAATAGAAAAAAATCAAAAACAACGATGCTTTATTGCAAAGGACCATTGGGTTCTTTCAAAAGGTACTACCATATAATAAGGATCTGTGGAGAAACCAATTGTGTGTTAGAAACTAATTCTGTTTTGGCTGCAGCCATTTACAGACACTGAAAGTACCCGTGAACTGGGAGTGTTTAGTGAAGCTAGTGAACTGGTTCTACTCAGGTGAGTTGCCTGGACCCATGTCCGGGTGCCTTTGGGATAGTTTGGACACTGATGCGAAGCTAGAAGAAGTTAGGCCATATGTGGAGCTATGCTGGCTCACAGAGTTCTGGCTCATAAGCAATGGCTTACACGAGGATTGCTTCGGAGCGGTTTTGTCATGTTTAGATTCGTGTCAAGACTTGTCAATCAAAATCATGCAAATTGCGGCCGAGCATTCTCAGTGGAAGCTAGTTGGAGTTGCCACAGAGTATGCTGCACCCTTGTATCACCTCAAGCGTAGTTCCGGTGAGCTAGATGCTTTGGAGGAGAATCTTGTGGAAATGATCCGAGCTGCTTCTGTTCAACTTTCCCAAGAAAAGCTATAATATTGGTGCTGTGTTTGGATTTGCCAGGAGAAGAAGCATTTTGACACAACTGTACAGCTAAATCATACTGTAGTATATAGGTACAGAAGACTGATTTTTTTAGTCATCCTGTTGTGCAGTGATTGAGCAGGAGTTATACTCCATATAGCATATGGGGTTTAACATTTTGAACATACAGAGAACTTTTTTTTGTATGGGTATAGGATTTTTTTTCATTTCTTTTACTCCATCCACCCCTAAATAAATTATATATTACACAAAATGAAGTAATGTCCCATGTGTTTTCAATTCATTTTATTTAAAGATTAGTATAAGAATTAAAAAAATAAAATATGCATATTAAAAGTACATCAAAAGTTTTTAAAAATAAGAGGTGACAATCATAGTTATCACGGCGCCAAGGCGAGGCGCAACACCAATGCATCGCCATAACGCCAAGCGTTGGGCCATTGCGATGATTAGGAGACAAGTAATACTTATATGTATACTAGTATTTTTTCCCGTGCCAGGCACGGAGTCGAACGAATACATTTTTTTACTCAGTTATTTTTTTCTTCTTAGCTAATGATTAAATAATCGAGCAAAATATAACATAAAACTTTAGAATTTTGATGAATATCATAAATGCTTGCTAACAAAATTCAACTATATATAATTTGAAAAGAACATGCAAATGTATAATTTAAATATAAATCTTTTGGAAAACTTCGGTGTAAACCACATTTTTGGTGAAATTGCAAGGATTACCGTTATCTAAAACTAACACTTTCAATCATGCTTTTGCTTTTACTCGTGAAACTACGATATAAAGTTGACCGTGAGTGAATATTGATTTGGTCAAAAATAATCCAACAAATGAAAATGTTTGGCTTTAACTCTTATTAATAGTAATGACAAAACATAAAAATGTTGAGAATTGTCTTCTTTGAAGCTTAATTGGTCATCCAAGATCAGACAGTACCAAATTCGTTTTTGGTATGTAAACTTTTCTCCCCAGCATTGTTTACTGATACAATAATTGTACCAGTAACATTTATTCGCAACTCTTCAACAATTAACCTTGTATCATTACACACCCCGGATGTTTGATCAATGTTTCTCAATAACACGATCGATACTACTTTCTTCAAAATTATTTTGTGGTTCAAAATTCTAGAATATTTGATATTGTTCAAAAACTCGATCAGTCATTATCCAATCATCATCTATGCCTACATCTGAATCTGCATGACATGAAAAATCAGAACTCAAATATTCCTTTTCATCACCAAGAATAAGAGACAAAATAAATTCATTGGTCATTTCAACAATTTCAAGCGTGGGTGCTAATAACATTCTATCCATAAAGAAAGTATAATCTTTCGTATTTTCTAAAAATTCTGGATATGTGAATTATACTATACTCTTAAGTCTTAAGTGGAGAACTCGAGTTAGGAATCAAGAATTCTAGTGGAATTCTACTATACTCTTATACAAAAGTATGAATTTAACATTTGTTATGATTTTATTTTTCATTTTTTTATTTTAAAAATATAATATTTATTCCAACATTCTTTCTTTTTTTTTCTCAAAAGTTTTCAACTCTTAATTTTTTTCAACTCTTTCTATTTTTTAGTTTTTCCTATTTCTTTCAGTATTTTGAGTCTCTTCTAGTTTTTTTCAATCTCTTCCAGTTTCTTCCATTTTTTCCTCTTCCTTCTAATTACGTCCATTTTTTTGAGTTTCTTCTAACATCTAACTCTTTTTTAAACTATAAAGTACATGTTAGTTTCTTAATTTTTTTTTTCAAACACCTTTCATTTTTTCAAATTCATTCAAAATTTACATATAAAATATCGCTGGTTTCAAAAAGTGGCATTATGTCCCCTCTATCAGTCAAATACCAACATTTGTATTTCACACTCCCAGAGTGCGTTGATGTTTGACAGTGAGGGGAATGAGTGCTCACTTTCTAAACTACCGGGGCATTAGAACCTATTTTTGTTCAATTTTTTTATTTTTTTATATTTTTCTTCTCTTTGTTTTCTTTTAAAAAGCTTTTTTAATTATTTTTTTATTCTTTAAAAATTCAAAAATGTTTATATTTTAAATAAAAAATAAATGAAAAACTATTATGTACTCCATCAGTCTCAAATTACACATTTCATTTTGTTTTAAAATACAAAATTCTTATCGTGACTTTCAAGCAAATAACTTATCGAAAAATGAAATATTAAAAAGAATGGCAAAAGGAAATGAATAAGTAAAAAGAAACAGAAACCACTCGAATAGAAAAGAGAAAGCATATCCATGAAATGAGGTGAAAATTTTAGTACTATATCAATATAAATCTTATTCTATTCCATAATTGGATTGTTAGAAAATATTAGTGTAGAAATGGTAAGTGACTTTTGTTGGAAACAATCTTTTATTATAACTGGAAAATAACTCAAAACAATTACAATAAACTCTCATATGTTTCTCATATCATAACCCAAGCTTGGCTAAGATATATATAGAGCTAAATAAGCCTAGAACCCATAATTCTATTCCTACTCGAACTAGAATATCTCGGGGAATCCTAATCCTACTCGATAATTAGTCAACAATCACCCCCTAATTTTTGAGTTGGATTGCGGGTGATCTTCAACTCCAAGCATGTCTTCTTTATCTTGATTCTCCCGAGGCTCTTCATGATCCCTTACAGTGTTCTTTAGGCTCCACTTAGCTTGAACAAACCCTTGCTCCTTGCGATCATTACACGTCCTTGGGTTAGAATCCTTTTCTTGACATCTCCTTTAAACTCTTGAACATTCTTCTTTGGACTTTGAATTTTGGGTTTCTCCATTAAACTTGGATCTCCGAGAAGATTCTGACTCGTACTTCGCGTACCTTCTTTCAGTTGATCGACTCTTTGTAGATCCCTACCCACAAAATTCTTCATTCCAATCATGCTAACTTGTGTACTGGGACTTATTATCTTGAGATTGATCTTGTACAAACGATTCTTGGTCCTCGTCACCTTCATCATAAGCTTCCCCGTGTCATCATGAATGGTTAGCAAATCACATTTCATGTGAATGTCGCATCCACCTTCCGTTGCTTGACCAAGGCTTATGATGTTGCTTTGTAGGCTGGGTATGTAGTACACATCGGTCAACAAGTGCTGCTCCCATGTTTTCCTTTCAAGTAATACAGATCCCTTTCCTCGTATGTCAATACAAGATCCATCTCCAAATTTCACCTTTCCCTTGACACGTTCATTGAGTTCAAAGAAGTAAGCTTGATCATGTGATTTGATGCTCCATTGTCGAGATACCAAATGTCTTTCTCCTTTGGTTCAACCTCGAAACGCTTTGGAATCACCCCTTCTCCATTTAAAAATATATTCTTTTGATCACATCTCATCATGAACAAAGATGGATCCAGAACATCAATTTCAGCTAAACTAGCTTCCTCTTGTTTTTTCGTACGCTCCAAGAACACTGATGCAAAGTGACCGAATTTATCACATCAAAAACACTGAACCTTTGATCTATCCTTTCTTCCCTTCTCACGATCATTGGCTCTTCTTTGACCCGTTCGCTTTGACCCATGATCCTGACCATCTCGGCATTGACTTCCATCTTGGTCATCATCATACTGGTCTTGGTCTCTTCCTCGACCTTGGTTGCATCGGCTTTGTCCTCTCGATCCGTTTTCTCACCTTTGAGAATGAGAACTTTCACCATTGGAGAACAATAGTTTACTTTGTGTTTCTATATCCTCTTCCTTGATTCGCTCTTCGTAGGCTTTCAACCGGCCTATGGTTTCTTGAAATCCTAGTTTATTCAAATCTAGAACTTGCTCCAACGAGGCAACTATATGGATGTATTTCGAACGAGGAAGAGACTTTAGAAACTTCTTTACCATCTTTTTCTCTTCGATTTCTTCTCCAAGGGCCACGGATTTTGAGGCCAAACTTGATAACTTTTCAGCAAAATCATCAATTGACTCTGAATAATGCATCTTCAAATTATCAAATTCTGCATTTAGAGTTTGGAGACGAGCTTCTCTAACCATCTCAGCCCCCAAGTGACGAGTTTTGATTGCATCCCACAGATCCTTTGCAGTCTCCTCATTGCCTACTTGCAATATCAGATTTTCTGGAATTGATTGAAACAACAGTGTCGTTACCATATCATTCTTCTCGGCATCAGCTGCGCCTGGTTCAATCGTTTCTCACACCTTATGAACCCTTAATACGACTTTCATTCTCATGGCCCATATGGTGTAGTTCGTAGCGTTTAGCATGGGACATTGGACAGCTGTAAGCCCAACTCCCTTAACCTTCGGCTGTGGTGTCTCAGATTCTGTCATATTTTTCTTGCGTCTATTGTACGTCACGAGTGGTGTAGCAGGATTCAGTACTGGAGTATTTTAGTGTGATTTGATTAAACCTGACTTGTTTAATCAAAAGACTTCAACGGTTGCTTCTTGGTCAATTAAAGACACCCTGCCACGGTATGAACGGCCTCTCGTTCTGCACAGTGGTGCGATCTGGACGGCAACACCAATTTGGACGGTGACTGCTCTGTGCGTGGACGACAGCAATTTCACCCGAGATGGTGGTTTCAGATCCTTCGGACGGCGACCTTGTAACACCCTAATCCGTCCAGGTCTGCAGCCCCTTTTGGACTAAAGTATTGATTTGGTAATCGTGATAATTTAAAACATTTCAAACATTTTTATTCATCATAATATTCCATACATAATTGTAGAAAATACGGAGTGTTTAATAATAATAATGCGGAAGCGACTTTTAAACATGTCTCATAACAACATAATTATTTATTTTGTTCAATGATCCACCACGACTGTCTCGCCCCTTCTGCTGCCAGGAATTAGCCAATCATTCATTCTATCTACCTGCGTGTAGCAAATAAAACACACTACACGCTCAGCGGTGAAGCTGAGTAAGCATATCTAAAGCGTCGAACATCCAAATAAATTGAATCTCAATTCATAATCAACCATTTGTTATCATGCACACAATATATGATTCAAACATTCATGATATTCTCAATATTTTATTCCAAGTCATTTGATAATCAATATTTCAACCATGCTCTTAAATTATTCTTAATCTAAGGCCAAATCATTTTATAACAAGCTCTTAGCTATTCCTAGTCTAAGGCAACATTTCTAACCAGCTCTTAAACTATAAATAGTTTAATGCAGAACACAAGAATCGATAATCCACCCTATGAGTCATGTGGATTACGTACCAACCGAACAATGATTTGTCGGGTGGGTGATATCCGGTCTGGATCCCGTACGTACGTTTTAACCCGAAATATGAATTGGTCAAGTAGGTATATCTTAGAGTTCTTCTAGATATCCTTAATAATCATCATCAATATACAAGTGGGTATATCTTAGAGTTGTTCTAGATATCCTTAACAATACGACTCATTAATTCATTATTTTCACTTTAACAATTCATGATTATCATTCAAAACGTTCATCATCATTAATTCATTATAATCAATAATCAAACAATTGTCATAATGCATAATAACAAATAGCGGCCTAGTCTCGAGTGTTAACACCCGAACTTACCGTCATGCATCACATAATGTTTATTTGTCACAAACATCATTTTTATTGTACAAAATCATATTT